TAATCAACAAGTGTGACTCATCTGTACGGAAAAAAAATAAAAAACAAGTGTGACTAGTAGTATCCATAATACTAAAGAGTTGACATGCCTAACCATATAAGATAACCAGTTGTAGCTTTTTTACTCTTATTTTTTTCCCCCAGATGACAGATAGTATTGATTGTCAAATAATGAAACAAAGTATTTGACATTCATATAAACACATGATCTTAAATAATGGTGTGGAAGATGGAGGAAGTTCATCTGTTTCAAGTGAGCGAAATTTGAACAAATTTAGTTTAATAAGGACATGAAATGAATCTTCTAACCAAAAAAAAAAAATAGGCCTATTTGGAGAAGTTTTTCTTTTGAGAACGAACTACAAAGAATGATCATTTTCGATAGATTTCATCATATCGATGTCACTAAAAATTGGCAAAATAAGAAATCTAAAAATCATCAATCTCAAGTTGTGATACACTTATCTTGGTTTGATAATAAGATGCATAACATTCCAACAATTTGATGGAAAATGGGGTGGATGGAAAATGGGGGAAGGAAAATGGAATGGATGAAAAAACTTTCCATTGTTTGGTATGGAAAGAAAGAGTGATGTAAAGGAAAATTGGAGGGAACGTTTTTCCTTCCCGCCCACAAATTATTTTCCCCCCAAAAATGGGCGGAAAAGGAGAACAAGCCAACAAAATTTGACCTTTGAATGATAATTTTATTATTTTGTCCTTTGTTACCTTCTAATAAAACCCACTTCTCAATACAGCAAACAAAACCCACTTCTTCTCCATGGCCAACGATAGACCCTTCTCAGACAACGGCAACCAGACGACGAATTCGATCGGTAAAACCAATGGTTTTTGGGTTGGATTTTCGGCTACTTCAGACAAAAGTTGTCATCCTCCGGCAGGCTTGGTATGTTCCTTTTTTCATTTAACTTTATCCTGTAACTGTAAGACTATGAGTGTTTTCCTTAATCAAGGCCTCTTTTGGATCTGTGATATATATATATATATATATATATATATATATATATATATATATATATATGAAACATGTTTGCTTATACAAGATGAAATTATACATACCTACTTATTGAAATTATAAAGTTAAGTCTAAGGTTTTGTTAAGTTACAGAAAGCCCCCCCTTTTGTGTTTCATGAGTAACAAATAAGAACCTGTTGAAATTATACAATGACCCCAGAAGATAATAAAACACTAAATCAATATTTTTAATAGTTAGAAAATGTTTTTGAAATTGTATATTGACCCAAACAGTTATGAGATTGTTTTGGAGATTATAAAATTACACCATATCGGTAGATTATGTGTTTAGAAATTATCTAGACCCCGAAAGTTTCTAAAATTCAAAATATAGAGGCTATCATAAATTGTTAGCTCTTTAGGAGTATATTCCTAGGCGATATATATATATTGTAAACTCTTTTTAGTTCAATACCATTTTAACTATTGTTGTTGTTTAATACTTAATTCCATTTGTTGGTTTTTATACCTTTTTTTTTTGTCCGTTGTGTTACTACTTCACCAGCATTCATTTTTATTCCTGCTTCTTAGCACCAATGTCCATTTGTTGATTATTTCGCGTTCAAATTCAATGTTCGATTTTTTTTTAGTTGCACCGTGCATTCAGGCATGAGTTATCCCTAGTATATATATATATATATATATATATATATGATAACGTATTTTTACCAGTCTTAGCAAGAGATTGTAAGATTTTTCACTTGGTATATTTATCAAATGTTAGATTAAACTATAATATTGCATGCTTTAGGTAATCGGTTTGGATTTGAGTCTTTGCCATTATTGGTACCTTACTAGAAGTTTCAAGTAATTATGTGCTTTGTTGATATTGTGATGAGTTGATTTGTGAAGTTCATGGCTATTAATTACTTGGGAATTGATTTGTGAAGTTCATGGCTATTACCTTCCTGAAGGTTTCAAGTAATTTTTTTTTTGTTTGTGTTGACTTACTGTTATCTATGGTTTTGTTGAGAAGGCTTATTGGATTTTTGCAAAGAAAATTGCAATTGGTCTGCGTTCTTGCCTAGTTTATCCATACTAACTTTTCTAAAGTAATTGGTTATGGGTATTCTTGGATTAACTGATACTTTTACATTGCTATGGTGCACTGTCTTGGTGATTGGTTTCTTTGGGTTTTTTGAGGTCCCAGACCTAGAGAAAGAAAAAGACAATTGATATACCAAACAAACATGAGAGCACTTTTGCTATCACATCAAACCGTCGTTTGGAGCTTTTGAGTAAATTGATGAGTGAATCAACTAGCTCTTGAACAACTTAGTGATCTAGATAGCTTTTGAGATGTGTATCTACTTACTATATGTATGTATTTTGGATGATACATGTTGATAATTATGCTTTTTTTGTGCTAATATTAGCATAAGCATGAACCTTATAATGTAGTTGATATTTTGCAAAGTATTCTTCAGCTGTACTGTTCATGTTACTATGCATTACACATTCAGCTGGTTTCTTTTAGCTCATGCCTGGGATTTCGTCACTCTGTCAGCTTATTTTCTTCTCCTTTAGCTGCTAATTCAAATTGGAATTTTGTGACCCTTTTCTAGCTATGAGTCTTTTTGATGTGGATGAGTCACTTTTCATGTCACTTGGACTGTTTAGCTGGGTTCCAATTGAGGCTTTCAGCAATTTGTTCCAGCTTGGAGATCTAGGAAGCAAAGTTTTTTTAATGTAGCTATGGTGGATTTTCAGCTGTTTGTAGGCTACTTTGGTCTGAAGCGCACTGTTCACGTCACTGTTTATGTGCCTATTCAGTTGCTGCTGCAATTGGATTTCTTTTAGCTAATCTCTTCGTTTTTTGTAGTTTGATGGACTCTTTCAATTGAACTCTTGCTTCATATGGATTCTTTTAAATTGCTGGAAGTCGATCATTTTATTCAGCTGATTGATAACTTGTGCTAGGAGTCTATCACCTAGATTCAAACGCCTTCAAACAGTTTCAAGTATATAGGTGTCTATACCTTTGGAGAATTTTAGGAATTAAGCTTTTAGATTTTAACTTAATTTAATTCCATGTAATTATCATGCATTAGAATTTTATTTCTTTCATTATTGTAATTAAATTGCATCGAGGGGTAAGGTACATACGTCCCCCTTGGCTAGGTGTAATTTAATTTTTTAATCAATAAAATCTACTCGCACCGTTAAGGTTCTCCGAAAAAAATATATATATAGTTGGTGACTTTTTGTAAGAAGATTTCATGTAGGTTAATTTTCTTTTGCTAATTTTTTTTATTAACACACAAGAAACACACAAAATGACTTCATATATTTAAAGTAGAATTGTTAAGTTGGGTATGTATGGTTTTCCTTTCCTTTAATTTTTCATCTAATACTAAACGATGAAAAATATATTTCTTCTATTTTTCATCCCTTCTACTAAACAAAAGGAGGGAAAATAACTTTCTTTTTTTCATGGATGGAAAGTTTATTCCTTTCATTTTTCCTTCCTTCCTACTTTTCATCCTTCGTACTAAACGCACCATTAAGGATGATTTAGTTGTTCCTATGTTACATGACAAATACACAGCTAAAATCAACATAAGTATGTCATAATAAACACCAAGACCATGGAGAATAATTTTAATATGAAGGTAATAAATAAATTTTGCTGAAAAATATTTCATGACCATGAGTAAAGAGTTAGAACAGATTAAAGGAAAAAGATAAATTGTGGAATATTTTACAATTGAAAATTACAAACTTATAATTTGAACATAAATTTTCATGTCTTGGAACTCTACACAATCATAAGTAATTGAGTTAAAATCTGGTTTCCATCTCATGAATTTTCGTAAAACTATACACTCCTCCACCTCCACTTCATTGTGCTCTGTGACAATCTAGGCACACTTTTTTTTAATCACTTTTCATATAAAAATGTATGATAGTCGGTGGTCCACGTAACAATAATGACATGTGTATCCTTTACAGTTTGTTAGATTTCTCTTTACAATTGTGTACACTTTTTTAAAAAATTTTTACAAATAACTTCAAATAGGTGATGTTGTTCAATTTACCAGTTTATTTACAAATCATATATTTAATTCTCTTGTATCACTTAATTTTTTCAGATTATTGTCAAGTCATTTAAATATAACATTAAAAAAAAATCTAAAGAATATGTTAAACAAATAATTCTAGAAATTTGAATAAAAGTTGAAATTATAATTCAAAATTATATGCGTGCATCAACTAATATGTTAAAAAAATTAACAAACTCTATGACTATCAAGAATACTGTTTCTCAATTTATAACTCTTAAACATTAATTTTTATACGTTACACGCTTAACGATTACAATGTGACGTTTTTACTAACTTGTATTATTGTTTTTGTCAAATCTTGCTGCACATGTAACACATGAATTTGATGAAAACATTTACAGAAGTTAGGGTGCTGATGACATTGAAACTATTTTATAACATAAAATGTAATGTAAAAAATTAATTTTTAAGAGTGTAAATTAAAAATTTTGCAATTCGCTCTTTATAATATGATCTAAACCTGCTGAATTAATCAAGTGCTGTCATGTGATTGACAATATACTTCACCCTGTATGAACGTGGTCCGAACATAAAAGTGCTTGACCGCCTCGTTCTTCCTATAAGTTAGCTAGAAGTGAAAAAGTGCACTCTGCTATAAATTCCGAAACGATGTCGTAGTTAACACGATTGTTGCAACGCCAAATAAACGGTCGTTAAGAAGACTTACTCCGTTATCTCTCTCTCTCTCTCTGTCTTTCTGTTTAAACGTGACTGACTGACGTGACGCTAAGTGGCCCCACTTGGCCACAGCATATATAAACCACCACGCCTCCTCTCCCTCCAACGTTCTTAACCGCTTCACACCCTTCACACAAACACAACACACGCTCGAACTCAGATCACAGTTCTCGAACCACAAACTCCATTGAACTTATACATTCCAAAACGAAGTCGTTTGAAATGAAGCTCAAGGTTCAGTCCGTACCTCTGTCCATGAAGAAGCTCCGGTCGAAGCTTCCTCGCCGGAAACGCCCTCAGATATCTCCGGTTCTCTTGTTAACTGCGACTGGAGAAGTTTCGGGCGATTCGAGAAGAGTTTCGGTGAAGAAGATAGGTTTTGATGCATTCAGTGCAGGAGAAGAGTTTCGGAGAGTTACCAGATCGTACTACAAGCAGAAACAGAGTGAGAAACGAAACTTTGGCGATCGTGAAGTTGAATTGTCGGAAACGTCTTGTGTTGAATCATGTTCTGGAGCATTTTTTGAAGTTTCTGGAGAGAGAAATTCGAAGACGAAAAGTAGAATTGGAAAAGGAATCGAAAATGTAAAGGAAATTGAACGAATAGAAGAAATTTCCAGCGTTGAGCAATTTTCCGGCGAAATGTTTAAATCTGGAGCAGAGAAAGTGAAACGAACTGAATATTCACTGGATATCAATCAAAACGAAGTCTCTTCAGTAGTTTCTCAATTGAATTCCTACTCGCCGTCTCAGCCAAAATTTGGAAATGTACGTGAAAACAGAGTATCTGGAGATGTAGTAGTATCAGAAATTTCGCGAAATTGCGCCGAGTCGAATTTGAAAATTTTGAACTCAGAATCGAGTGTAAAACAGATTCCGAAATTGATTGCAGTCGATTTTGATCTCGCTTGCTCAGAGCAGATATCGTACTCGTATGATGACGTTTCATGCTATCCGTCGGCTTTTACTGAGCTCCAATCGGATATTTTCCATGACAGTTCATTCGATTTCTCAGACGATTACAGTTCGTCCATTTGGTGTGACTCTGGAAGCCAATTCTCTGAGCGATCAATCGATGATTCTAGTCCTTCACCTACGTTCCAGCTGTTCCTTCAGTTCCGCCAACAATTCTGCAGATCAACATGTCCGGTTACGGCCTCCAAATTCTCTTCGCACCATGAGGAAGATAATTGTGATCAGAACTTCGTAGTAATTTCTTTTCACTCTATTCATTTCGTCTAAATAAAAGCATCAAAATATTTTTATCTTTATGCTATAAACATTTTTTTGTGTGTTTTGCATAATCCACTTTAGTATTTGAGTTTTGTGTTCTTTTTCTTCCGAGTTGCGTATTTCATGCCACTGTTGTCTATTTTGAATTTCGGGTGTGCAACTATATTTCTGTAGTACACATGCATTCATTTTATGCTGTAATTTAGTTATTTATGTGACATTATTAGCATGCTACAATTCTGTATTTTTTATTTAAAATTATGTCTCTGGAAAAATAATTTAATTTTTATTTGATTGCCTATATGTAAGTTTCTGTTCGGTGCAATTGTTTATTTCGTCAGAATTTTGATTTTCAGCTGTCGAGATTTGAAGAAGAAGAGCACGAAGAGAGCTACAAGATGATGAGAGAGCGAGAGAGGAGGGAAGTGTATCTCCACGACTATGCGGAGGAGTACTGCTCCAGCACGGACCGCGGCGAGCTCGTCATTCAGCAACGGTTACAGATGGTCCACTGGATCGTTGAGGTATGTTCTGCACAGTTACTTTTTGCTACAATTTTTTCTCTCTAATTGGATCTCACCACTTGTGTGCATGTTGAGGAGTGCCCTACTGGAACTGCTCTATCATTCATGTACTTTCCTCGAAAATCTGATGAAGTCTTTTTCTGTTTCGTGAACATTTGGCTCCACTTCTTCCCTATTGGCTTTCAATTTTCATGTCCACCAAAAGTTCCTACAAACGTGTGGCACTTGCGGACAAAAAGTTGAGTTTCAAATAATATGGCAGTTGGGACGCGGTAACTAAAATTTGAATATTAAATGAATAAAAGTAAAAACAAAAGAATTATTATTTCAGTGTCACATCAAAATTAGTATTCCATTATTTTAAACTTTATTATTGACGTCCCACTTATTTATTATGGACGTTTAAAATTGATCAAAACTATGTACATGCAATTGAGATGATAATTTGGGTACGATGCAATGACAGTTTGGAGACTTTCAATCTCATGAGCAACAATGGAATAGTGCCGGTCCAATCTTTAGGCCACTTAAGCATCGCCTAGAATTTTTAAATTGGAAGAAAAAATTGGAGATCAAAAATAAAATAAACAATGATATAAAATTAAAATTTTAAAATATAATTAAAATTTTAAAATATAATTTAAATACTCAATATATTTTAATCATCGAATTAATAGTAAGTGCTAACTTAAAACAAAATTTACTATTTATTTAATGTATTTGGTTCTTAAATTAAGTGCAACTAACATTATTTTATAAAAAAATTTAGAACATCTTTCAAAAGAATTTAGTGCCTTAAGTTTAACTTATTTTTTTATCTCTCTCGATATTTTTATTATATATTATCACTTTGTCAGTTTTATTATTAAAATCAATTGTCTATTGTATGATAGACATGAATAATAATTTTACATTTGTATAAATTAAATTTGAGTTTATTTTTTAATAATTTTGTTTACGATACACAAGATGACTATAAAATAGAGGGAATAAAAGTAGTGCACTAACTATCTTTTTTTATTTTTAAAAATAATTCTTTTTCTCTATAATATCTAACAACTAGGGATAACTCATGCCTGAAGACAAAGTGTAACGTGAGTGAGAAGTGATGAATTTAGAGGAAAATTCAATTTAAATGGTTTTGAGAGAGATGTTGAGACCGTCGGATGAGTTTATTGAAGTCTGTCATGTTTATATTATAATATAGATATCTCATTTATTTCAAGCTACTCAACTTATATAAATTTCTATTTTTATATACATTTAGAAAAAAAAATCATTTTACTAGTCAAACTAATTTTCAATTATTTTTTTTATCTTAATCAAATAGTATGTATCATTGTATTTGATCTCTGTATTTGAGTTCGATTAACCCAATTTTTATTTGTAAAATTTAAATTTAAAATTTGAATTAGATATCTCAAAAGACAAAACAAATAATTTGTAAATAAACATATTTTATTAAGTATTTAATATTACTGTTATTATTTGTGCTCCTCTTCATTTGCTCCTGTTAACAACCATGAAGGCATACATAGAAGGCAGATGAAAGAAAGCGCTCGATAAACTTTGATCGAAGATTGTAGCATATATTTTATAAAGACAATATTAAACTGTTACATTTTTGAAGCAGAATTCGTCCCGCGCCTCGACTTGATACAAAAGGGCCATATTGAATAAATATTTATAGGCCCTCGTATAACATTTTCGTATAAAACCCCAAAGTAGATTTTAGACTAAGACGGTCGGTTGTGCTCCCTTGGCCGTGTAGTTCTAATGAACCTAACCTTAAGCTGAAGAGAACGTTGAGCGGTCCAATAGCATCTAGAGTTAGTCAGTTAGTTACGCTTGTGGCATAAGTCAAAATTTGACAAGTCCTTGCATTTGGGAGATGGGGAATGGTTTGCAGAATCAGGGGAATATGTACCTGTGTCATGGGAATCGAAAATCAATTTAGCTTGGTGGCCTACAATAATTGACTATTCAATTAACGTTGTTGCATTAGTTCTACTGATTGATTTGTCTCTTCTACTCTTCAAATCGATCAAGCAGCAATCTACTAACAAGGAGTTACAAAGGGAGACAATGTTTCTGGGTGTTTGCCTTCTGGACCGATTCCTCAGTAAAGGATACTTCAAAACCAAGAGGAATCTCCAAATTGCTGGAATTGCTTGTCTCACTCTGGCCACCAGGATTGAAGAAAATCAGCCCTTCAACAGGTATTTTGGTCTTTATTTGTTGCAGTTGCCTGTATCGAATTAGAGTAATCATTACTCCTATCCAAATAGATGTATAAGATATTGAAAAGGAAAAAACCACATAATAGCATTTAGAGATGAACCACTAACATTGACTTGTCAATATGCGATATGAAAAAACTCCTTCAAATACATCCAAGTCAGTCGCGTGACTAAATTGAGGTGGTTGTAGTCATTTGCTACAAAAGGCAAGCATACTACAGTGATGATTTCAAATTTCATTAAACTACAAAAGACCGTCAACCTTTGTCTAGCGGCAGCAGTACATACTACTGGGGAAGGAGGGAGGGAAAGACTAACTACATAAAGGCCAGATACTCTCTACAAGTCTATATATTCTTTGATTTTGTCCACATATCTCGTAAGATCCATATCGCAACCAATTAAGTCTGCAAGTTTCAAGTCTTAGTCATACCCAATCTGATAGTTTATGACATAGTGAGATATAAATCTAACAAAAAAAATTCTTAGGCAAGATATTAACCTCAAGAAGCTGCAGAGAAAGTTTGCCATGTCACCAAATAGGCACGGGAGAGTAGGAAAGGTAGAAAAATGACTTTGTGTTTAGAGTGACTATTGAGGCATAGTGGATCACTACTTTCCTTGCTTGTGAGAGTTATAATTCTCAGCTGCATGCCTATTTTGGTTAAATGAGGGATTAACTTGCTGCCTCGATAGTAACTTAACTTCCTCCAATTTTATTCAGTATGGGAACTCAGCTAACTCTATATTTGAACTTTTAACCATTTCAGCGTGCGCCAAAAGTCATTTTACAGCGGAAGCAATGTGTATAGCAGATGTGAGGTGGTAGCCATGGAATGGCTGGTGCAGGAAGTCCTCAACTTCCAATGCTTCTTGCCCACCATGTACAATTTCTTATGGTACTACACAGTTTCCCCATCCACTCTTTTAATGTGTATAATCTTAAAGTTTGGGCATCTGGCCACTTTTCTGGTAATTGAATTTATTCGATTGCTCCAACTACTTGTTTAAAGCTATGGATTAATATGAGACAGGTTCTACCTCGAAGCAGCAAAAGCTAATCAAGAGGTGGAGAAGACTTCAAAGTACCTGGCAGTGTTAGCTCTGCTGGGCCACGAGCAACTGTGCTACTGGCCCTCATCTGTAGCTGCTGGCTTAGTAATCCTTGCATCCCTAGCGGCCAATCAAGATGCATCCTGCCAACTGGTAACAAAGGTAGGCATCTGGAACAGCACTATATATTACAATTCGATTCCTGTTCTATTTCCCCGAAATATTGATATTCTGCCTTGCCCAAGTAAGTATTTGTTGGTCTTTCTTGGGAGATAATATCTCCAAGAAAAATCTTTTTAGCTATTTTATGAACCAATTCTATCATTTTCGTGCACAGATTCATGCCAGAACAAAAGATGATGATCTACCTCAATGCATAAAGGTATGCAATAACACCATGCCAAAGAACTCTCTCATTCCTATTTTTTCTCATAATAAAATTCCCTCCAAGATCCGTGGTGGAAATAAGTCAATCATGGTCACTGCTAGTGCACCAGCTATTACATATGCTAGCAAAGAAGGTCCCTGACAGTATATTCATACTTAACAGAGCCTGGAGTGGTTGGTAAAGTACATATGCTAGCAAGAGATGAACACGAGCAGCTCTTTCATTCACTGGCATTCTTCTGATTCATCACAAAGACATCAGTAACTTTGTTCTAGAAGTTTGATCAAGGTGGTAACACAAACCTCTTCTTCTCCCAGATGTAACAGTGCAGCAGCACTTGTTGTAATAGCAATTTTAGCAGATGGATTGCACGCGTTCAGTATTTCTGTGGTACAGTGGTGAATGTGTCGGGCTAATAACCGTGACCTGCACTATCTTTTGGAGTGGACCTATTCTATTGGGTCCAAATATATTTTTGCAACAGAGGTGAAACATATGGCTTGTGAGTTTTGGCTCATTGTTTCTCCCGGTACCCCAAATTCTCTTCCAGTTACTACCTCTTACGGGTAAAGATTGGAAATGGAATAATTAGAGCAATGAATCCAAATGGGAAAGAAAGATGTACAGATCAACGGAAACCAAAGTGTACTATCCTCTGTAGTCTGTAGATGACATCATCAAAAACAAACCTTCATGATTTTCATACAAAAACAAAAATAAACAGTTTATAGAGCTCAAACTTATATTGTACTCACCAAGCAAAGAACTCGTACCCTCATAACCGTGCAGTTCTACTTGCTCTAAAGGTTCTTTCAGTTTTGAGAATTGCCAAAACAAACTCAACTCACTCTATTTCCAACCATCGGCAGTGTCAGTCATCCTTTGTTGTTTCATTCTCTAGATGATCATATTTTCTGGGGGTTAATTTCGTCCTTATCAGAAGAATCTTGATTTCTCTGAACATAACCTTATCATCAGCGATCAGCCACTAATCCCTTCTACTGCCAAATCATGGTCCTACCTTCAAGGTTATGCTAGGGAATTGCATGTTCTATCATTTACCTGAAGTTGTAGACAGTCAACTGAAATGCAATCCACGAAATCATTCTATACATTCTTCTCATTTCATTTAAGCTAATTTTCCCTGTATTTGGCTTCATCAATCCTATACCTATTGTTTGTTCGCCACCAATCAATGTATAATTTGTAAAAACTTCTGCTCATCATTGTTTTTTGAACGGAAGGCAATCTACAATCTCAAACTTGCTGAACGATTGGCGAGAACATTAAAGAAGGTAAAGCAAATGATATCTACTAATCTTTACGAAGTAGTGAAAAGTAAAAAATAGTCTCTGCAAATTTCTGCATTCAGACTTTAAGAAGCTTCTTTACCCCGTCTGCAGCTGTTAAAAATAGAGTACACGAGTTTTGTTTAATCTTTAAGAACTAATCTTCTGCTAAAATGGTGAACATAGTGCTAAAATGGCGGACATAGTCTCTTATGTTTTATAACTGGCAACAGCCGGAAATAGTCGAGAGAGACAGTTATGTATGAAACGGGGGCGAGTTAAAAGAAAACTTGAAACCAAGAGGCTTTTTAAAATTGTCTGTATTACTAATTCTCTCATTTTTACTTGTGATATGATCGACTTTCAGTAAGATTTTATTAATTTTAATATTTTTATTACTAATATTTTTTTTTATTTTTTCGTATGTTTTGCATCCAGGATTTGTTTTGCATGTGTTGACTTTTATCGTGAATATTTTTTGTTATTATTATTTTGTATTATTTTATTATTTCTTATACTTTTAGATTTATTAATTGTTTATTTGCATGGCTTTAGCCTATTTTTCTATGACGTTTTGTTTGGTAGTAGGAATAAAAAAATTATTTTGAGATTTAATTATTTTAAAATTATCTCATTTTTGAGAAAGATTTTTTACATCCAGATGACTATTTTATAGTTACCATATTTATAATAAATAATCAACAAATTAGTTCTAAATAATCATATAGTATTTATAATTATAGAATATAACATGAGCTTAAAATTACAGAAAAAAATATAAAAATAATATAGTTTAATTTATCATAGTTATATTGCAACATTAAAATTTGATATTTTAGTTCTTTCTAAATCAAAGTTTATAAAATTAAGTAGGTTATATTATGTGAGTTTGATTTCATGTATAATTTAAGATAAAAAATTATGCGTGTATGAGAGGGAGAGAGAGTTTTATTTGTGTTTAATTGGAGATGTAAGACAGTATGTGTGTGTGAGAGAGAGACAGAGAGAGGAGATTTTTACTTTTACGGTTTTTGTTTTACTAAGTTTTGATCGTTACAACAAAATGTGTGGCTTGTAATTTTGAACCCAACTATTGAATCTAAAATTTAGTTATTAGGTGTATAGTTTATTAAGATTTTTTATGGAGTTTATATTGTTATATATTTAAAAATTTAGATTGAATTATATTGTACATTAAAAATATATGGGGCTTTATTTGAAATTGGGGCCTTAAGCCCCCGCTGTTTTCGTTTACACTGCTGAGCCGGCCCTGGTATAAAGACTAAAACTTATGTTTTATATGTTTTGTATGTGTGTGTTTTGGTGTACTAGTGTGTGTTTTTTTAATATATTAGTATATGTATGTTTGTTTTTGGTATAATCATTTGTGTATATTTATTTATTATTATTTAATAAAAATATAAATCCTCAACCCAAGGAGATTTGTAATTCATCTGAACTTTTTTTTAACTATTAATTCATCTTAATTGACTTAATTAAAATAAATTATATTATCTAATTTATTTAAAATTCACATTAATTAATATAAATATCCAACTCATTTATTTATGGACAAATTCATGGCTTAATGAAAAATATATTAAGATGGCCACCGATCAAAATATAGGAGTTTTCTTTCTCACCCAAAAAACGAAAAAAAAGAAAAAAAAACTATATTTATTAGGAGTTTGCAGTAGTGTCAGCTGAGGAGATCTATCTCTTGTAGGAACAGCATTTCCTAAATCGCATCGACGTAGGACGGAACCACTAATAAAAAACCCAACCAACACCAGAAAAACACATCTTAGTTTTCTCTGTGTCTTTGTTGAGATTCAGCAGAGCGATTTGTTTGGGTGAAGAGCAGAGAGATTGTCTCACAATACCCAAGCGGAAGCGGTGGACATGGAACACTCCACTGGTAATGAAAATCAGAAAGAAAGCACTGTGAGTTACTCTTTTTTGGATCTTCGCTGATTACTTTTGTGTGTGGATGTTCATGTTGGGGAAATTCGTTCTGCTCTGCTGCTGAGTTGAGGGGCCTGTGCTCTGTTTCCTTTGCAATTCTCTAAATATAGTTTTATGGTCAATTCAAAAGTTGTTTACTTACTACTAATTACTTACTTAAAAAACGTTATTAGCAACGTTGCTTAGATTAGAGATAGCACGTTATGACCACTCCTTAAGTTTAGTAGGCGTCACAATTGAAGAATGATGGACTGACAGTATGATGATCATAATTATCTAATGTCTATGGATTTTTTTATTTTTAATCTGTTGCAGGCAATTTTTTGTTAATCCATATGAATGCGCTTAAGCATGCACAAATTAATTTTTATTTCTAAATGTTTGTGCGTGGACAATTCAATTGCTGACAATGAGAAATAGATCAGTGTTGTTTGGTCTCTAACCCTTCACCAAGAGGTCATTATTACTTAACATCTTTATTTTCTTTAGCAATGGGATGCAAATTCAAAAATCATCGTGTTGATCTCTTTCCCTTGCCCTCCTCCTCCCCTGAGATGCAAAAAGGAAAAAAATTGAGTGTTTTAAAATATCCTCTACTCTGTTGTTCGTGTGCAGTGACCAACCTTCCTCAGGATTTATTGAAAGAAGTGGAGAAACAGTTTTCATATGCTGATTATATTTGGTTTTCTACTGTCTGTGTGCATTGGAAATCTGTGCAGTCGAATAGGCCCAAACTGCGAGTTTGCCAAATCCCTTGGCTAATGCTACCATCTAATGATGATCATGAGATGTATTCCAATGTGTATGGCCTTCTTGAGAAGAAGGTTTTCCCTTTGGGGCTACCTGAAGCACGGGTAAGTTGTATCGTGGATCTTCCAATGGTTGGTTGATTGCAGTTGAGGGAGGTTGAGGATTGAATCTCCTCAATCCATTTACGAGGTGTGAAATTGATCTTCCTCCACTATAAACTTTTCCAAATGTAAGGGAGTATTAGGCGGGGAGGCCTGATGAAGAATATACTATTGTTCGACCAGAAGGAAATCCAAGTACTGTTTATCTTGGCAGGACGTACATGCAAGACCACTTCATAAGTAAAGTTGTTCTCTCGTCTGGAAATTTGAGCATCCTAATGATTTTATGGCCATGGCTATCTGCGGAGAATTCAATAGATTAACTTTCTGCAAACATGGTGATGATGGATGGACATCTGTCTCCTCAACGTTGAAATGCTTCTCGGATATTTTGTTCTATGAGGGAAAATTCTATGCTGTAACTTACATTGGTAAGCTTGTCGTTTGTGATGCTGATTGCTTGCCAACTGTTGTAGATATCCAGGTAAAGCAGCCAAAACTTACTCCTAGTTTTAGGTTATACCATGTTGAGACTGCTGGAGGGTTAGTGCTAGTGGAAAGGTGTTATAAGGGAAGAGGTCTTGATCTTCTGGATTACGGAGAGGTTTCCCACTACAGAACAATTGGATTCAAGATATATAAGTTGGATACTAGAAAAAATAAGGTCTGAGCTTAAGAGTTTGGGCAATGATATCTTGTTCTTGGGATATAATTCCTCGTTTTTAGTTCTGTCGAAAAAAATTCAGAATTAAAAGGCAATTGTATTTATTACACAGATAATAGGGATAAACATCACTTTTGGGGCGGTACAGGTGGTTTTGACATGTAATTTTCGACATGGAAGACGGAAGTACCAAGCAATTGCCAGGTTATACGGGAGAATCAATACTGGTTTCGCCTCCCCCAGCCTGGGTGGTGCCCAATTCTCGTTAGTTTTTTTTTTTATCAGAATTTATTCAGCTGACTTAAATCTGTTTTTCTTCTTTATGCCTTGCTGTATCTCTCTGAATAATTTATTTAATTTTATTTTGCTTATGACTACTTTTCATTCTTGTTCACAATTATGTATTTCAGTGGTTTAAAAATTATCAGTCTATTGGACAAGTCTCCGATATCTTGTTCCAACGAAAACTGTATGTGCTTTTGTTGATTGTATAATAGGTATAGTGGGGCATATGGGATGAATAATCTATTTGTTTCTGACCAAGAGTACCATAGTTTGGCCTCAACTCCCCCATAATATTATTGCTATGGCCTTATGGGTACCTATAATACGTTAATTATCAGCATAGCTATGACAATCATGCAATGGGAAAAAAATAAAACAGAGCAAGAGAAAGAGAGAGAGAGAGAGAGAGAGAGAGAGGGAGGCTTAACTGGATGCAAATGTGTAGTTGGAGTTGAAAACAATTTGGGTGAATAAGGCAGAGAGACTGGCAGGCTCTTTCTATTTATGGAGAGATTTAATGCCTACAGCATCCAAGAGACTGTCTTCTGATTCTCATTCAAGAGAAAGGTCTACATTGCCAATGCTTCCACCTGCTGGAGTTCTAAACTCATAGTTATTCTGACAGCAGCTCTGCCTACCATGCCACTGGTCCATTGGTAGGCTTCAGTGCAACAATGCCTAAACTAGTTATTGCATTTTGTTCTCGGTCCATATTAAATACGAGTTCAGGCGCAGGAGGAACTAGTGCTTCTTGCTCACATGCCATCTTTTCTTCCCAGCAACAGCTTTGGTGACGCCATAGCCACAAAGAGTTTATCATGCTGAATTGCTGATCTGGTGGCTTCTAAACACTTTTTTCGGAATGCTATTCTATTCGACTGCAAATAGTGATTATGGACCATCCAATGATGCCATCATATGGAAGGTATTGTGTCTTCTGTGCTCAACAATTTATTACTCTTTTTCCAAGCATCTTCATTTGCATCCACCTCTTCAGATATTTTAAGGTAAAAGCATCTATTGTGCTCTAACAATGGAATATTGAAAGAGATAGTGTTCATTGAGTCCCTTCCTGCAGAAACATTAAGAGCAGGATCAATCTGGATTTGTCTGCTACATAACATCTCTCTCACTGGAAACAACTAAAAACTCTAGTATCAGAAATTTTCTTCAGGCATTTAACTCATATTGTCCAAAGTTGTCTCCATATATCTTTTATCTCTAAATTTCCTCATCGTAGCTAGTGCCAGCTTCTCCCATTTGACTCTTTCTCGATTCTGCTAAGATGGAACTTTTCTTTCTTTCTTTCTTTAATATCTTCCAACTTCTGTGGTGGGGCTGAAGGCCAGAACGTGATTACATAGAAGCTTCGGTTCACCTGCTTCTGCCTGTGAGACTAACTATCCCCTTGAGAGTGCTTTGAAAGGTGGCAAGACCTCTGGAGAGGCTACAGTTAGCTAGCAAATCAGGATGGAAGTTGTCTTTAATTCTCAGGTGATTTCTGACCTTTGACCTCTTTTGTGCCTTGAAACACTGCCCAAATCTTTGCCAGCGTAGACCATCACCTAGCTATTCTCCTAAGAAATCTTTTAGCCAAGGATTGGTACAACATAGAGAACTTGGTATGTGTTGGCTGTTGCCAAAACAGCTAATCCTTCTCATTTGTTTGAGGGAGTGGTATCTCAGTTTTAATTTCAGCTTCTTGAGTTTTTAATCTGATTCAGCTTTCTCTACCTTCCAAGTCCTAGTATATCATCTTTGCTTTTATGAAACAAGTCGAATACAAGAAAGAATGGCTAGCCAAGGATGATTCTTAAGCGTTGACTCTTCTCCCTTAATCAATTCCATGGTTATTACAATTCACTCAACTCTTGACGACCCATGATTTGGGTACATCAATCCCGAATGAGGTGGGTTCGTGATCCAGATCACCAAAATGGACTACCCCAAATTGTAATACCAACCCTAAATCAATTCGTTTTAGATCATGTAGCACAAATATAAAATATATATTAATTAACTACATGTATGTAGATTTATAATTATATATTATTTTAGATAATAGAAAATCAACAACAACTATAAGATAAATAGTAACGGATTTAGTGTTTATGGAGGTTTTGTAATATATAATGTTGTATAGTAGTAAAAATGATTTACATAAGAGTTCTAAAACAAATTGCGACCCAAAATACTATACCAATTAAACCACCTCCATCGTACCGCATAACTAAAAAAGTGTCGTACCATATACCCGTACCTATACCACATACCAAAGCGACCCACGATCCAAGTAACATTGATCAATTCTCCATTTGGCTTTCAATTTGAACCATCTTCGTTGCCATAAATGTTTTGCCAAGTCCCTGAACTATTTTACTTATTGTTCAGTTCACTGATGAGGAGATACTTAACTTTTGTTGCTTTGCAGACTCCTGAATCAAGGAGGAAGGCCTTATCTTCGGCATCCAACACTAACTGTGTTCTGCTACCAAAACTGCACTAACAGCTTTGAAATCCTTAAACCCATGCCCAACTGCCTTCTTTCTTGTTGCCACTAAAGCTTTGGATTGAATTGTGATTAATCTAAATCAAATTAAAAAAATTTGATTCGATGAATTTTATTTTCATAGTCTAAATTTGCATTCATTAAGAAGAAGAAGAAGAAAATAGAGAGAAATTGACTTACCAGAAGATCAAATGATGAAATCAAGCTCGATTTTGATGAGAATTTAGTGTTTTGCTATTCTTTACATCTTTTGGGTTCAATTGTGGAAATGACATCTCTTCACTGCTTCATTCGGTAATCCTCTACCAAACTCACTTTGTGGGCTATATTTCCATCTAAACACTGGAAGCCTCTCATTGTAAATGTGTTGATTGATAGAATAAATCGGTGGATATTTTGATTTCTTGATTGTGTGCTCGGTTGGAATTGATCTAATTTTTACACAAAAAATGGCAAGAACGGTCAATTTGTTGTGGTTTGTGGTCATTGGTCATCTTTCCCAACACGCTCCTCAAGATTCACAAGAGAGACGCTTTAGGCATGAGAAAGTTAATAATCTTATGTCGTAAATTAGACATGTGGTTGGCTGAGGCAATGGTCATGTCTTTAATGTTGGTTTATTTTTATGGAGTCTAGTTTGTATATGCGATCCGGATGATGACCCGACCCGAAATAATGTTGTGTGGTTTTTAATGAAAAATTTTCTGAGGCTTAGTCCATGGAGCGAAGGCTTGGGCCGATTTGGGCCCGTTATACAGCCCAGTGCGTAGGACATATAAACCCTGTTGTTTTGGTGATTAGGGTTAATTGTGGATGGTACAGCCGCTCTCTGTATTCAACTCTCTCAATAGTGAAATCCCTGCAGCTTCGTGGACGTAGGCAAATTGCCGAACCACGTAAAATCTGTGTCTTGTTCTTTCTTGTTTCTTATTGCTTTATATTCTTGATTTGTTCTTCGATTGTGTGTGTTTGTTAGTGGATTTAAATCGTGAGAAATCCCAACATTTAATTCTTCACCAAGGCTCCGGAGAGTCGGTGATGTGATTGCTGCTTTAAATACAAAGGCGATGAAATTTTTCACAAGAATGATAATATAGTATAGAAGTTACACTAGTTAAAATGTCTTCCTATGGAACTTCGTCAAGCATAAGTGTTCCAAGGGTGGAGGAAGAACCTGTGATTGGATTTGATGATGAAGCAATTCAAATTATAGAGCGGCTATGTGGAGTTAAGAGGCAGCTAGAAGTTGTGTCGATTGTTGGCATGGCTGGACTGGGCAAAATAACCATGGCTAGAAAAGTGTGCAACGATCCTTTCGTCGTGTATCACTTCTACATTCGTGGCTGGACCAATGTATGTCAAGTGCATACAAGCAGAGATTTGTTGATAGGCATTTTTTCCTTCCACTTTCAACGTTAAAGAAGATGATGAGACTCTTCGGAGGCCAGCAGTAGCGTTAGGTGGAGAGCTGTGCAGGAGTTTATAGGTAAGAGATATTTGATTGTCATGGATGGATGACATATGGGATATTGGGGCCTGGAATGGTTTGAATAGAGATTTCCCAAACGACAACAATGGAAGTAAAGTTATTTTTACTAGTCGGCTCACAGATGTGGCTTTGCAAGCTGAACCTTACAACCCTCCCCATTGTTTACGCTTTCTAAATCAGCAGGAAAGTTTGGATTTGTTACAACAGAAGGTATTTCAGAGAGAAAGCCCCCTTCCAGAGCTTTTGGAAGTAGGATTTCAAATTGCCAAAAAATGTCATGGACTCCCACTCGCAATTGTTGTAGTGGCTGGACTTCTCTCAAAGACAGAAAGAACAGTAATCTGGTGGAGGCAAGTTGCCTCAAGCGTAAGTCGTACATTGTTAGTGACCCAAAGAAATACATGGACACACTTGCACTGAGTTACAATCACTTGCCCCACCACTTGAAAGCATGTTTTCTTTATTTTGGAGCATTCCCCGAAGATTATCATATCACTGTATGGAAGATGATTTGGTTGTGGGTTGCTGAGGGATTTAGACAGGAAATTGGGCAAAAGAGCTTGGAGGATGTAGCGGAGGGATACATGGCAGATCTTGCTGATAGAAATTTAGTATTAGCACCGAAAGGAGGTTCAATGGTGGAATCAAAGCATGCCATATCCATGATCTGTTGCGTGATTTATGCTTGACCAAAGCTAAGGAAGATGATTTCTTGCGACAAGTTTCTTCTCGGTCAAGTTCTGCTACAAATAAGTGTCACCGCATATGCATTCATTCAGACATTTTCAATTATTTAAGCACCAATCCTTTGGGCTATCACATCCGCTCTTTTTTGTGTTTTGCCTCCGAATCAAATCCATTTGTTTTGGCGAATAAATTAACTCTTTATCAATCCTTCCAACTTCTTAGGGTGCTGGAGTTGTTGTCCATCCCTATGCCCTTCTTTCCCCGGAAATAGTATGGTGGCTAATTCATTTGAGATAGTTGGCGCTGTGGTTTGAAAAAGGATCTCTCCCAAACTCTATACTTGACCTGTATAACTTTTAATTCCTCGTAGTAAAATCAATACATATTAATGTACCAAATGCTGTTTGGAAGATGGTTAAGTTGAGACATCTTTATATCAGATCAGGGGAAAATCTTATTGAAGACCCTTTTTTGGAGGGAACACTGACGGGTGATGGTTGTTCCTCGGTATTGGACAACCTCCAAACCATCTCACAAATACGCCCTTCTAAGTCTTGCCAGGATGTCTTGGCAAGGACTCCCAATCTTAGAAAGCTGAGAATTTGTGGAAGTTTTACAAGAGAGTTGGGAAGTTTTACAAGGACTCCCAATGTTTGAAGCATCTTGAAACATTAAAGTTATTAAGTGTGGGTTTCAATCTAAGAACCAACAGCCATTTGTCGTCTTGCATGTTCCCTCCAAATCTTAAAAGGCTTTACTTTATCATTTATGGAGAGTAGGTAGAAAGAGTGAGGTTCTAAAATTAGTATATCAACAATGAAAAATGACCAGTGCTCACTTTCCAAACCTTGAACATTTAGTGGTGGTTTAGAGCCTTCAAGGTTTAGCGTTTCTAATTGTGTGAGCAACTCGAGGAAAGCCCGTGCATCTAAATTCTTGGATACCCTCACACGAGAGAAGATTACAAAACAGTTAAAGTTTTCCTAGGCACCCTTGGGGCAAATTCCACATGGAAAATCCAAGTGGCATTGAGCTTTGCTGAATGAATGAAGCAAGAACAAGACTATGTATCCCAAATCAAAGAGGATCATTGGATCAGTGGGTTCCATTTAAAAAAGTTAATGGGACTTATTCATCCAA